TATATATTTATATATATATATAAAGGAACTGTGATGGCTTGGTGGTCAGTGCTGTGGTCTTGACATCCTGAGGTTGTGGGTTAGAGCCAAGGCTGCATCAGGAAGGGCATACACACACACACACACTGACACATGTTCATCCATTAGAGACAAAAGAAGCTGAGACAGACAGTGTTGGTGCACAATGTAGGCGGCTGTGGCTGAGTGGTTAGAGCAGTCGCCCTCCATTGCAAGAGTTGGGGGCTCAAATCCACCAGCAGTCACATGCCGAAGTGCCTTTGGGCAAGACACTGAACCCCTCATTGCCTCCGATGTGTGTCCCATTGGTGTATGAATGTGATAAAGCTCTGATTATTCTCTGTAGAATAATTTGTTCAGTTAGCTTTGTAAATCTAGTAGAGTGCTTTATGAATGGGTAAATGAGGGCACAGATTGTAGTGTAAAGCGCTTTGAGTGTCTTAACAAGATGGAGTCCATTTACAATTTCACGTCTACTTATGCATTTGTCATTAAATGCCCTAATTAAATTCTGATCAGACGTTATGATATACAGTTACAGATCACATTCAGAGTTGATGATCTGCAATCAGCAGCCAAATTTAGTGAAGTTAGAATAGACTCTTCGTATTTTTTTTAATGTCTTACTTTTTTGAATCTTCAGTGTGATCCAGTTAGAGTGCTAATGTGTCATGTAATTTGTCACATGCCAGTTCATTTAAAACATTATTTTAAAATTAAACATATCCTAGAAAAACAAGCAAACAACCAAAATTATGCAGACACCACAGCCACATTAACCGAGCAACAAAATCACACATACAGACCAACTCAGGGCAGGGAGTTTTCCTGAAGGTTTTTTAAACCACATTGTTCATACGGGAACTAAATAAAAAGCTCTAAACTGTTTCAGATTGTTTGTGTTGTATCTTGGATGACTCACTAAATGTTTAAAAATACCCAAAATAGTGTTATTTAGGCCCTCCGTGTGATAAAATCAACTATGTAAAACTGACTAAAGACATTAGGAAAAATACTTTATTCAAAGTCCACTAACTGCTTCAAATCATTTTTGCAAATCAGCAGGTCTTTTCTAAATGTAGAAGATGATCCAAAAAGTGAACACAAGTTCAAAACAATAGTGTGAATGTTTATGAAGCATTCACACTATTGTGATCCTTTTTTCTTCTGTATGTTTTTTGGCGTGATTCTTGCCCCACAGTTTTCTATTTCAACAATTCATATATCAAAACATTCAGCTCTTTCAGGACAATCCTGCTATGACTTTTGGTATTAATGCAACTTTAGCTTTTAGAAATATTTGGCCTTTTCTGTC